ACGACTGAGAAACTACTGATTATTCTGAAAATATTTCAGTTCCCCAGAAAGACTAACCAGAGGTTCTTTGCTTTTCATGAGTTGAATAATCCTGACTGAGTCTTCTTCATCTTCATGATCCTCAGCTGCCAGCGATGGAAGTTTGGGCTCGTACTCTTTCTGGGCTACGGCATCGTGCACTGACAGAAGGTCCTGAAAAAAAAAAAAAGCGCAAATTCTTGTCTTCGCTGAAAGTGCCAAAACTTTAAAAAAACAACAACAACTTTTTTAATAAAATAAAAGACACCATTCCATGCTGTGAAAGTACATGAGATCCTGAAAAACACTTTCTCTCTCAACAACAGACTTTTATTCACTGGAACTTTGAACATACATCACTTTTGTGGAGATGAGAATTGGCGCGTAAAAAAAAAAAGAAAAAAAAACCTCCAACAACCCAGAGAACAACAAACGATCCAAGTAGCACCGTATCGTTAAACCACTGAATGAATGAAGCTGTCACTGGTTAAGCTCCTGTACAGGAACCTCTGCCAAATGTCTTCTAAGGTAGAAAAGTATTTCTGCGTCCTTTGAGTCGTTGGGGAAGAGAAAACCTGAGTCCCGGGGTTCTGTGATGTTTCGATTGGCGACGATGCAGAACGCTATGGCTAGCTTAGCCCTAATAATCATGCTTCCTGAACACTGAGCGTATTTGTGTTGTCTCCAGGAAAAGCACATTCGCGAAAGATTGATTTTCTCCCTAAAGCACCTTTTTCAAGCTAGCTACAAGAATCCTACCAAATAAGGAATGGATTAATACACTCCTTTTTTTTTCTTCTTTTTTTTCTGTGCCTCTACACCTGAATGATGAAGCGTTAGGTGCTAATGCTGTGAGGAAATCTGAAACAGTTCCCTTAACATTGTGCTACGAGGTATTATTTTTTATTTGTTTGATAAAGTGCTCAAAGAGAAATCGTTAGAGCAAAATGCCCAAATGTGCTTGGCAAGAAGGCAAGGATTTTTGAATAATCAGTTGATCAGTTGATTTCACTTCCCACACTCCGTCAAGCTGAACTTTGACCCTGCGAATTAATGAACCTTGGACGTGTGAAACAAAGACACAATAAAACACTTCACGGGTGTGCTGTTCTAGGAAAATGATCAACAACATGAAAAAATAAAATAAACCCAATAGAATAGTTTCCACTACAAACACCATTCCAAACCATTAAAACCATTACCGTTACAATGACTGGTTCTTAACTAGATGTAACATTCCACCAATAGACGGCAACAGAGTACCATTAGAAACGCATAGGGACCATTACATTTTCCATTAAAAACCAGGACAATTCCCATTAAATCCATTAAAACCATTACAAATTCTATGACAGGTTCTGTTGTTGTATTTTTATTGTTAAAAAAAAAAAACCTAGCTAGCTAACATTAGCTAATGTTAGCTGTTGTGGTGCAGTAAGCACCAGCTTAAATAGCAAGACGAAAGCGTCTGCTTAAGAGCGTACGAGGGATCGCTAGCATTGCTAAAAACAACAGGGATTAAGATCGGAAATGGAAAACAGCAGGTTGGAAAATTTGCATTTCCCAATCGCAAATTTTATTTTTTTTTTATTTCCAACCTGTCGGTGAACTTCGTTTGGCCCGGCCATCAACGCTGACTAGCTCGATGACAGATACACACCAAGTTGTTACACCAAGAACTGATTCAGAACATAATAAGCCTGGGCTTTTGTGATGGAAAAGCATTAAGCGGACCAGAAATGAATGTCAGCGTGTATTTATAACAATGTGACAGCTACACTTATATAGGACACAATAGCGAAGGAAATTTATTTATTTATTCATTTTTTTTTACATGAGGTTGAGTTTCATGCTTGCATGTAGTCATTAAGATTAATCAGTGTCTGGTCAGCTTGAGATTTTTTCCTGCAACATCTTGCTTTAAAAAAATAAATAAAATAAAAAAAATTTTCCCCCTACTGACTTTTGGTCGAGTTTATTTGGAAGCCGCTACTCGGACTTGATTGACAGTTGGACGTGCGTTTGGAAATGGAAAGGGAATGCGAAAGACTAATTGGGAATTATGTTTGGGAACGAAGCGAGAATGGAAAAGGCAAATAGGGAAACACGATATCCATCCGTTTCATTTCCAATTTACATGTATATTTTCCGTTTTCTCCGTATCCCATTTTCCCAACTTTTTTCCCCCATTTCCAACTGTGATTGCACTGGTATGACATTTAGATACTGTCATATACGGTACTGGTCACTTCTACAATTATTCATTTACGTTTACGTTCATTCATTTAGCGGACGCTTTTATCCGAAGCGACGTGCACATGAGGAAATACAAGCAAAGCGATATATCAGGTGGAGAACAATACAAGTAGTGCTACCGTACAAGATTTATAATCGGGTTCTAGAGAAGTAAAGTTTGAAGAGTAGAGGTGTAAGAGCCAGAGGTTTTTTGTTTTTTTTAAGGATGTGGGGTTGGAATTTTAGGGGTTGGTTAGGTGTTCACAGAAGAAGGTGGGTGTTTAGCCGTTTTGTGAAGGTAGTGACGGATTCTGCGGTCCGGATTGAGGTTGGAAGTTCGTTCCACCACTGAGGAACAGATAGTGTGAAGGTTCTGGAAAGGAACCTTGAGCCACGCTGAGTAGGCAGTACTACGATTAATGACCCCGACGCTTAGCCGTGCATACTCAGCGTGGCTCGAGGTCCCTTTCTAGTGTTATTACTTCATTCTGTTTCAGCTCTAATCCCACTAAAGACACTACATTACTGTACCCGAACGTGGGGTTTGGATAGCACGTGCATCAACTCCGCAATCTCTGGTCTGGCCTCTAAAGTATGAAGTTCCTTCATTACCTGCAAGAAACAAAAAAGATTGAAACAGTGAGAGTTTTGCAGCCTAAAGCGCACAATATGAGAAGTTCATACAAACTCGAAAGAAATAATTGCCGTTTAAATGGTCGCTTTTTGCACGTCTGGCCTAGTTTACACTTATCTTTGCTTTCTTTGTCCCGTATATATAACGAATGAGACGTGTTTCATATTTGCGTTGGCTCTTCGAACTCGGTGAACTCAGAGTTACTGTAAAAAGCCTACCGGAGCCAATAAAATGGGATTCTGCATTTCAAACGTCTAAATAAGAGCCTCCAAATGGCTGGTGTTCAGGCCGTGAGAGAAAACATATTAAAAAAGTGTCTAAATCATCACCCTGTTCATCACTAACTAACTAAACGATGGCGGATGAAAGCCGACCTACGTTACGAAACGGTCGATTGAGCAACGCACCAGGGAGCAGGACGATTATTTGATTATTATAAATACGAGATTATTAACGACGCTTGAGTGTGAAGGACTTTTTGGGGAAAAATTGCATTCTTACTTTGAAAAAAAAGACAACAACAACAAAAAAAACCCTCTAAAGCAGGAGGTTCTCGAGCTGCTGTGAGTCGCCCAGAGAATACGTAGGAACCGATAACTCGCAGGGACGAATCGGGGGGAAATTCGTTGTACACCTGCGCTGATATGCACCACGTCATCGCTCCTGAAAGCAGTACAGCCAAAGATCTTCCAGAAGTTACTCATGACATCGGGGGTGGTGGGGGTAAATTCTTACATCCTGTAGCTTCGACGGTGGAAGAAAATGTTTTCAGATGGAAAAAATAACACCGAGAACCAGAAATTCTCGAAAGACCGTGCTGAATTCCAGCCAGCCAATGGGACAAGCGGTGAGAAAGGGTTAAACCGGTCCGAGTGTAAATACAGCGCCTGTTGCTCTTTGCATTCCAGGTGAAAAGGCCACGAGCCATTGAGAAAAAGCCATTTCTTCCAGAGCTCCACCAACCAAGCTGGCCAAGCTCAGTGCGGTCATGAACGTCACCAGACCTGACATTTACATGAAACTCGACACAGGGCTGCGACATGTGGAAAAATGGTTTTAGCAGCTTAAAGCACCAAAATGTCCTCCTTGATTTCACTCCGTGGCCAGATGGAAAGCGATCCTCGTTGCGTGCTTTAAACAAACAGCCGGCGATCGCGATCACAGCCTAGAGATAATCTTCTGTTTCGACCATCACCGCAGATCCGAACTGATACCGCCAACCGTCCGCCAAGAGCAAAAAAACGGCTTTTGGATGATTCAGCAAGAAACTATTAACGTGTACAGAGTCGAGATTGATATCTAAAGCACGGCGGGACACCACTGAGATAGACATGCTAAGTTCATCAGACGCTGTACTACTCTGTCTATTCCTTCCTGACAGACACAGGAGCTGGATCATGTCCAATCTAAAAACCCACCCCACCGAGATCCGTCTCGATTTCTTTAGATTTTTTTTTTTTTTTAAATGGTACGAATTTTCAAGAATAATAATGAATTGAATGAAATGCTTGAATGAATATGTCTCACAATGACAATTTAGAAATATGGTGTTGCTTCACAGCTCCAGGGTTCCTGGTTAGATCATGAGCTGGAGTTCCTGTTCCTGTTTGGTTTGGTTTGGTTTTCTCCAGGTTCTCTGCTTTCATCGCGCCTCCCCAAACACATGCTGGTAGGTGGATTGGTTATGCTAACTTGCCCCATGTGTAAACGTCTATGTGTATGTTGCTATCGGATGGATGGTTCCTATTCTCTATTACACTCCCAATCCCGCCTTATGGGTTGATTGGCATTTCCAAATTGTCCGTAGTGTCGGATTGTACCCGGCGATGGTTTGGCTCCCCGTCCAGGATGTTCCCTGCCTTGTACCCCGAGTTCCCTGGGATATTCTCCAGGCTCCCACGTGACGCTGTGTAGGATAAGCGGTATGGAAAAGGGAACAGACAGTTAAAATGGATGAACGAATGAATTATTGGTGTGTGAACCCGATATTCAGGTTTAGTCCACATCAAAAAGGAGTAAGAAACGTTCGTGCTGAAAATTGATCGATTGAATTCATTCGTTCGTCCGTTCCGCCCACCTGTACAGTATATTTTGACTCCAGGACACCACTGGGGGCAGTGGAGGCTTGACGGTTAAGGCTCTGGTTTCCTGATCGGAAGGTCGGGGGTTCAAGCCCCAGCACTGCCA